CCATGTGTAACTAACAACAATAATAACTGAAAGAATTTATCATAGTTTAACTCATTACCCCATGTGTAACTAACAACAATAATAACTGAAAGAATTTATCATAGTTTAACTCATTACCCCATGTGATGTAACTAACAACAAAAATAACTGATAGAATTGATCATAGTTTCACTCATTACACCATGTGATGTAACTAACAATAATAATAACTGAAAGAATTTATCATAGTTTAACTCATTACCCCATGTGATGTAACTAACAACAAAAATAACTGAAAGAATTTATCATAGTTTAACTCATTAGCCTATGTGATGTAACTAACAATAATAATAACTGACAGAATTTATCATAGTTTAACTCATTACCCTATGTGATGTAACTAACAACAAAAATAACTGAAATTTATCATAGTTTAACTCATTACCCCATGTGATGTAACTAACAATAATAATAACTGAAATTTATCATAGTTTAACTCATTACCCCATGTTATGTAACTAACAATAATAATAACTGAAAGAATTTATCATAGTTTAACTCATTACCCCATGTTATGTAACTAACAATAATAACTGAAAGAATTTATCATAGTTTAACTCATTACCCCATGTGATGTAACTAACAACAAAAATAACTGAAAGAATTTATCATAGTTTAACTCATTACCCTATGTGATGTAACTAATAATAATAATAATAACTGATAGAATTGATCATAGTTTCACTCATTACACCATGTGATGTAATTAACAATAATAATAACTGATAGAATTTATCATAGTTTAACTCATTACCCCATGTGATGTAACTAACAACAATAATAAATGGCAGAATCACATCTTAGTTTAACTCATTATTCTATGTGACACAACTAACAATAATGACAGAGAAAGAATTTACTCTGTGGTTAAGGGAATCTTTATATTATTTTAGTACAAAATAGAAGATTAACTATTCTTGGATTTTATAGTCTTAACCAAACTTCTCTCAAAGAACTTATTACATTAATTTCAGGCTTCATCTTGTGATTCAAAAGACTTTTATACAGAGGCTTCCTTCATCATTGGCAAATTAGAATAATGACAATGTCATATTTTCCTAAAGGATATTCTGATGTACCTGATGAACAAAACCTCTGTATACAAGACAATCTTTTGAATTACAAGCTGAGGCCTGAAATTAATGTTGTTAGTTCTTCAGAAAACTGTCCAAGGCATTGGCAAGTATGATAAGGTTTAATGGAATGAGCTTTACAAACACCTTTCTCCATGTCTTCAAGGCTATGATGAGAAGTAGTGGTACTCCTTTCTAAGACTGGCTGTGATTTCTTTAATAGGTTTTCCAGGCTCCCTGACAGGTGCCAAGCACTTGGAACATTGTACTGCTTATGGTATTTTTCCCACTGTGGCAACCTTATGGTAATATAATACAATTCATACTGATAAGTTTGAAATAAAATCTGAATTAACAATGTACTTCCAAAATATTTTAAATTCTTAACAAACAGATACAAATGTACAACAGCAAACACAATTTCTGTAAAGAAAATCTGAGCTTTATTAGAAGTGAACTTATGATGAAGGTCTTTATTACTTCGTGCCATAGTTTAAACAGTACTGAACCAATGGTTACACACTAGAATAACTGAAGACTTTTTAAAATACTGTATCTCAGTATAATAGGTTCTTGTAACATTACTCCAAAAAAATGTTTATAATCACATCTGTAACACAAGTATATCCTATGTGATTACATGTTACCAAAAACTGCTACTAATTTAATTTGACTACTCTATGCTACATATACATCACTGGTTTTAAAAATTCTTCACATTGTTATTACCTTTTAGCTAAGATGTAATTTTTTTTTCAAAATTATTGTTTGTCAAAATTGCTAGTTTGTGTTCTGAGAATTACTCAAGTAACACATTCCCTGTTTCAAAAGCATGCAAGATGTGGATTTAACTGTAAATTACTCAATTTTCTTGCAGGGAAGATAGCACGAGACATCAAGAGATGAAGAAAGGTCAGGAGCAGCTACATCCTAGAGCTTAGCTCTAAGTGGACAAAGATCTTGAATGTGGAGAGGATTTCTTGAGCACACCAGACTTTGCTTATGTACTTGAATCTAATACCATATATGCTTGTATAACAAAAATACAGATATAACTTTTATACTTTCTTTTCAACATAGTTTTTCTTTAGTTAAGTTACATATCTTTCATGGCTTTTGTAACTTTGGTAAGTGTGAGTTTTGTTTGCAGAAGCTTTTGGATTTGATTTTAACTTGCGAGTTTCTGTAAGAGTAACGTATATGGATTTAAACTTAAAAACAAAAATTATAAGTCTGTTGTATACAAAAGATCAGATTTATTATATGTCTAAGCACAAAGTCTTTATTGAGTCAATCTGAGTGGAATAATTCTTTCATCTTACAGTTTTCATATTTACGTTGCATAACCTCCATATTCTCCAAAATTAATATAAAACATTTTAAAAAGGTAAAACTTTGTTTTATCTGTAATTTTCTTTACCTTAACACAGACTGTAGCTAATCATGAATATACAGTGAAATGAAAAATTGAAAATAATGAATTTTACCACTTTTTCTTCTTTGAATGCATCATTTGTTGCCACATCTTCAATTAATGGTAGTCACAATTTTAACTATTAAACTTTTGATACTAAATTCATTTTAATTTTATGGTTTTATGCCTGACTCGTACCATGCAAGCAGTTTATTCTTACATGAAAGCCAATATATTACAGCGGGAACACATTAGCAGGTTCTTGTACACCAACATATTTCATGATATGAAACTGTACACTTGAATGCATAGCTATATAGGATTAGTTTTTCCCTCTATAAGTTTGTATTCAAACATAAATTCATGAAGCTTTCAAATATCATTTTAAAATACAAAAAATATATCAGTCACTAGAAAGGAATGTTCCAAAACTACTATTATCAAACTGGCTTTCTAACTAAGCTATAAATGGGGTAAAAAAGTTATGTTACTGCTATGAGCAACAACTCCAATTATGCACAAACATCAATCATTTCCTCTCAACTAATGTCTACTGCTACCAAATTCAAAAGGATGATTACAAGCATGTAATAGAAAGGAAAAGTTCTTTTTATTGGTTATGAACATGTGCATCAAATAAGAGTACATAGTTTTGAAACTTGCCTTGAAAACTATGGTTAGAAGCATGGGACTTCTCTTGTGGATTGGAAGATATATTGATGTATCCTCAAATTGAGAAGTTAGGATGTAGAAATTATATATTTGATCTTGTCATTATTTATAGACACTGTAGAAGCTATACTATTGAAGTTATACAAACTAAGGAAAGAATTCATAATGCATGCACATCACATGACAACAGAAATGATGAGCGGGAATCTTTTTAAATTAAGGAATTAAAATTTTAATAATATAAAAAATGCTGAATTATAAACTACACTCTGATGTCAAGTTCCTCAATACACTGATAACAAAGTAGTGTAGTATTTGTGGAATACAAATGTTAAGTATATACCCATTTAAAGGTTTTCAAGAAATACATTTTATCTATTTTTTTAATGTACATAAAGCATAGTATGGAGGAAGTGGCAACTCAAAAATGTTATAAGAAAAACATGGACAATAGTGAGCCACAATACCAAATAAAGAAGATCCAAGCTTGAAGCCCATCACAGAAGTTAGCCCAAAACATTACATTCATGACCTCAGAGGTGCAAGAATTCACAGCTACCAATTCTTGCACCAGACTGATATGGAATGCTGAGAAAATTCCAACAGTTAGATAAAACACACAACAAAATGAACTAATGTCACCAAAAAAAAAGCAGTTAATGGGACGGTGATGAAAAACAAGAGTGAAATACTCTAAGTGAAGAGTTACATGGTTTGTCTCCATATGTCCATGTTAATTGTCTTGGATGATTTTGCTAAAGATATTAGTTAAGGGACAAAAATAAGTTCTGTAAGGACCAATAACAAAGTGGATTTTGGTTACAGTCTGATGGAATAGTCCACTAGTTGCTGGAAGATCCCACTTGTACCAATTGAGTTAATAGAACTACTTTTTTGCTAAACTTCTTGAACAATCAGAAAAACAGTAAAAATTGTGTATATAATTCCATGTTCCCAACACCAAGCATTAACTTCTCTGCACTTATCAAGTTGCTCCAAGGACTTGATCCAATTGCAGATAAAGATGGCAGTAATCCAGAATCTACAAGAAGTTCACCGCACAAACTCCTTGTAAGTATGTTATTTCTGATCTAGTGTAACAATGTTTCACTTAAGGTTTAATAATGTATAAAAAGAGAAAAATGACGAATACTAACTGTACTAAAGAAATAATAGATTTTATAACGCTTATAGTAGAACTACTGAACGATATCTTAGAAGAATTGTTAATGCAGTTATACAGATTATGACTGAAAGAATTTCCTGTGTTAGCTTAGTTGATAACTAATGATGTGTCTATTTTTATTGAACATAATAGAAGGTCTTATTAATGAACATCTAGACTTTCAAAGCAAAGAATCCAATGACTTAGAGTTAGTTTTGTTTCAAGATAACCTTGAGAGTTTCAATATAAATGAACTGTTCATTAATATATAAATAAAGAAGTTATTTGATTTTTATTCAGTTGTCTCTGTGCAAATTCTTTATTCCAACTTAAATTTCCTCAAGCTGGTGGCTTGTGTGCTCTGCTTGCAAAAGCATGACCCAAAATCCAAATTTCTTTGTAACGAGTGTAAAGTATAACCCAAGGACTAAGCCCACAGGCTCCTCACACGCCCGTTACAGTGGTTTAATTAAATTATGAATGTAAGCCTAAAAATTAAAGGTCATTACATATGCACTTTGACCCTCCATGTGTATAGAGTTTACCTGTCACTGTGGTAAAGTGTGTGTTAGACAAACAAGGCATAAATTTCAGAGTAGAAGCTACCAAAAACAAGAAAGAGAAGAAAATAGATTTGAAGAGAAAGATAGTACTGGGAACAAGTGACCAATGGTATGAATAGGGGACATATGAGAGCCCCCAGAAATAGACAGACATTCCAGTCAAGAAGAGTAACCAAACAAGGAGAATTAGTGATAAAAAAGGCTCAAAGAGATCAGTAAGACCCAGAGTAGGAAAAGGAAAATGGCTAGGAAAGAGATGGAAGTTTGTGTACAAAAACTATCCTGAACCAGTGATAATACAAACAAGAATAAGTTGGGGAGGAAGATAGACATATCAAGGGAGAAGAGAAACAATTCAGACTCAGAGCATCCACTGCCTGAACTGTACAGTCTAGAACTGGAGACCAAAAGAGTGGAAGCTCAGTGATGATATGATTTGAAAAGGCAGTAATGACATGACTCCCAAAGTGGGAGTATATTCACTGAAAACACCAGAAGATGGAGAGATCACTTTGTGAGAATGGTACATTTAGGTGAGATAGTCAATCCACCATAAGGACCTTAGCTCCTGTGACACGATAGATCAACAATCACATATGGTGATCATAAACCCAAAAGGGAAAGTATAAAGCAAGAGAAACAGAGGTCCTGAAAGCAAGTGCCTACTTGTCAAAAGATGGAAGAAACAATAATGGAGGTGTCTGAATGGATTATGATAATACGACCAGACAGATGAATCAGAAAATAATGACAAGCTTGTTGAGAAGCCAATATCTCAAGGACACTGGTATAGAAAGACCAATCTCCTGGAGATCAAACTGTGGAAATGGATCAGGTGTCCAGAACTACCCAACCTGAACAGAAGGATTGGTTGATATGTTTAGTCTGTAGGTTTGACTGTTGTCAAGGGCAAAGCTACACAATGTGTCACCTATGCAACACCCATCACTGCTATGGCAACCTGATAAATTGAGTTACAACAACTCTAACTTACTGCTAAGCCACTGAAGACTTCAATGAGATGTAAGTCCAAGTGAAGTGGGATGAGAGGGATACCCAAGATGACAGGAGATAAGTAAGCCTCCATAACAGCAAGAGGTGCAAAATAAGAAAGGGAAAACACAAGAGATTAGTCATAATCCACAGAAGAGGACTTGAATGGGTATTTCTGAAAGGAATAAGGGGATCAAGAAAGAAAAAAAAGAATCCCCCAAAAAAGAGAAATTATCTCATGCAGGACAACAAGTAAACACGAGAGCCTCAGTATCAAAAGTTCCATGTCTCGAAGACATAAAGAACAAGGCTAAGCCTACCCCACATATAAATGAGAAAGACCTCTAAATGGATGAGATAATCAATAGGGTTCAAAACTGACTTGAAGTGCCTGATCAGCCAACCTAAATGACACAAATTCATTGGATGCAAAAAGTAGGAAACAATTATCTATAAGAGTAGTGGAACTGCGGATCTATGATTTTTTAACCT